GCCGCCCCCGCCGTGCGATCCTTGGGTCACCGCGATGCCCAGGGAAGACCGAGCCACGTGGAAGTCCAACTACTTCCTCAAGATCATCGTGAGTCCCGGCGGTGGGGAGGGGCGCGGGCGCTCCTGAGCACGTGCAGAGCGCCTGGCTGCGGCGGGGACGGCCTTTCCTTGGAGGCGCCCCTTCCCGCCGTTATTTCCTGATAGCCAGCCGACTAGGAAAATCAATAGGAGCAAATAATAATAAATAATTTTATTTATTATTTATATAGCTGCCCATCTCACACAAGGTGACTCTGTGATGATGATGATGATAATAATGACGACTCGATAGGTGGATAGAAATGCCAAATCCAGTCTAAACAACTGGCTGACTGCGAACAACAACAACAATAATATTTTATGGATTAGAAGAAAATGCAAATCCTATTTGTGTGTCGTCTCTACGATTGTCCCCAATCAGATCCGCATATGTAGTTCTCTAAAAGGGGGATATAGTTGTACCTGATGGGGAGAACAGAATGACCTAACGACTTAATTTAAATTAATGAATGATCGAATTTGAAATAATTTAAATTTTGTATAACAAAATATCGAAAGGTTGGATAAAGTAGTAATAATATGGCTAGAAGGTTGGGGAGTGGAGGCTGAAAAAGCTCCCATTGCAGACATAGAAAACATACTTCTTTATCGCTCTGTTCACCACTTGATATTCAAATTAATGGGAAAAAGGCCTGGCAAATTGCATAATAAAAAGTGTGAACGTAACTGGTAACCATCTGAGAAAATGTTAACATTTAAGGCAGTGGTTCTTTTGACCCAATTTCCCCTTTTTCCTGGGCTGGAATAATGTCATTACCCCCTTGCCCCCCTCCCAAAATAAAACACACTTGTTATACACAAGCATTTCAACAGCAACGGGATCCTCAGCTCAAATGTCATTACACATGGCTCTGTTACCTCCAGGATATACCTCAATAACCCCCAGTTTAAGGACCACTGATTTAAGGGGAAAAAAAGTTGTGAAGAGGTGTGCCTTTCATTGAAGAAAAAAGTTGACATACAGTTCACGTCCAGAGTCTATTGCTGTAATTATAGATTTAGGGGTTTTGGGTGGGGAGCATTGACCATGATCCACAGTTTTGATAGATTCTAAGGATGGAGAGACAGCCAAGTTTGAAGAACGAGAACCAACGTTTGGCCCAAACGTCACAGATTTTTATTCTTTTCCGCAGCAACTCTTGGATGATTATCCAAAATGTTTCATCGTGGGAGCAGACAACGTTGGCTCCAAGCAGATGCAGCAGATCCGTATGTCCCTGCGCGGGAAGGCTGTTGTCCTCATGGGGAAGAATACCATGATGCGTAAGGCCATCCGAGGCCATCTGGAAAACAACCCTGCTCTGGAAAAGTTAGTGTGCAAAGCTGCTGTGGCTCTCGAATTCTTCCTCCTCCTGTCAAGCCGAGCATAGGACCTGATTGTTTATAGGCCCCATCAGCTCTTGGGTTTCTTCTAAAAGAACCACAGCAGGCCAATCTCTCCTACAGCTGGGAAAAGGAGTTTAAAAGACAGTGGATGCCATCAGAGTTTTATATCAGTCTTTTGTGAAGATGGTGGTTTGCCGTCTTTGATCTTAGATGCCAGTTTGGTCTCAGGGTTAAAGCACCAGGCTAGAAATCAGTAGGCTGTGAGTTCTAGTCCTGCCTTAGGCACGAAAGCTGGCTGGGTGACTTTGGGCCAGTCGCGCTGTCTCAGCCCAACTTGCCTCACAGGGTTGTTGGGAAAATAGGAGGAGGAAGGAGTATTAACTATGTTTGCTGCCTTGAGTTATTTATAAAAATAATAAAGGCAGGGTAAAAAAATATTTTAAAAAATCTAGTTGATTTCTGGGAACCAATTGGGGAAGGCTGATTTTGTAATAACCTAGGGAGGTGCTTAGCAGACCACTGATCCGTTTAACTGCAGATGTGTGAGAGGGCTTTGAAGCTGTCTGCTTAAATTGAAAGGGTTTTTTTTTCCCATAAAGGATCTATGCAGATTTTTTTTCAAAAGACATCTACCCTTCCTTGGCTTTGGTTCCTCCCTGATATGCAGCTTCTGGCAGATTACCCCAAAGAAAGGCAGCAAAGGGTCCCCCTATTCTATACTGACCTGCCATAGCTCTCCAAGAAAGGATCTTTCTTGGAAAGACAAGCAAAAGATTATCCATACAGAGCAGTTAGTTTTGGATGGTCTGTGGTTCAGTCTGGGCATAAACTCGATGTGCTCTGTAAGTCTCTGGATTTTGTTTCAACCCAACCCAGAAACAACCAAAATGTTCTGTGAAACACCACCTATCCAGAACATTTCTACATTTTCTGTTCGCCTGTATCACTAGCTTTTCCTGACTCTGCCTGAATGAACCAGGGCGACTTTATTACAAAACAAGAATTTAGCAACTGACTTGTGTTCCTTTTGACTCTCATGTGGCCAAATGAGGTGGTCTTTCTGAGCTAGTAAATCAGTTGAAAATTAGCTTTCTCTAATCCAGGTTTTTAGCGCACAACTTTCTTTTGAATGGGATGATGACAACTAACACTGGCTGTGTTTTTTAGGCTGCTGCCTCATATCCGTGGAAATGTGGGCTTTGTGTTCACCAAGGAGGATCTGACAGAAATCAGGGATATGCTGTTGGCCAACAAGGTAAATGGAAGCTGCATAGGCATGAAAGCCACTGGGGAATTCTGGGAGTTG